TAAAAGAAACAGTAAGTTTTCCTAGATTTCAAGGACGGTGGACATCCATTATGCTTTGTTGTGAGCTGTGTTCTGCTGGAGGTCATAGGATAGAGTTATGTCTCCATACCTCCCTCAACACATGTGTCATTAGGACAGATGACAGAGAAATTTTTCTGCACTAAGAAAAATGGCAGATGCAATGTAGCTTTCTGGACTCCTGATTCTAGGGTTAAATTATTAATGAATCTACAGGAATCAGAAGTCAGTTTCTCAATTTTTTGTATGTTCGCTATTACACTTATTAAATGGTACTGCTTCAAAAATCCATGGTTCTGTAAAAGGACAATGTGTGTTATCTCATATTTCTGGCCTTCAAATTGTTGGCCTATTCTATAACATCACAAGAGTACTTGCTGTTCAGAGCAGCTGAGTAGGGATATAAATCTGCAGTTTACCTTGGCCCTAGTCAGTGTTCAGTTTGCTTTACAACTTGCTCATGGTAATCAGGTGTCCTACTTTCCTTTCCATCCCTCTCTTCCAGCTATAAATCAGGGGTGGTGGGGGTGATTCCTAATTGCCTCTCTCATTGTGATTAATACTGGTATGTTACTATTTCATGGATTTCTCTGTTCTGAGCCTTTTGGAAAGAAAACTGAATCCATATGAATATGATTATATGGCCACTTAAGCAGGACCCTCTATTCATGGCTAGGGGAACATGTGTTTCTTAATTCTGTTTCCTGTTATCACAGTAGTGTCAGCATAAATAAAACAATGATCTTTGAAAGAGAAGAGATGCTCTTTATTACACATTTGAGATTTTTTTCTTCTTCTTCAAGGGACACTATGTTATTCTATACAGAGCATGCTTATGCCTTACAGATTTATGCCTGCCATGGTAAGCTAGAGTACAAATTAAGTGTTCACTCCTAAAGAGCTGTATATCTCTCTCTTAACTGTTTCTGGTAGAATTAGAAGAATATGATGTCTTTCGACTTACATCCCTTTCCCCAGTGAGGAACTTCCCCAATGAGCCACATTAAATGTCACTATCTGGAGGAGTTGTTTTCCAAAAGAAAATAGTTTCATTGATCCTATTAACTAGCTGTTTTCCACAGAATAAACAACAGTGAGTAGAGATGACTATAGAAAAGACTGTTTTAAGAAAGCAATCTGGCACTGATCCAGGAATAAGATTTGTGTGGGTGGCCCTATATGCCTTTTTTTTATATGGGCCTCATAAGGACCTGTTCCTTTGGATCCATTTGCAGGGCTGAAGCCCATAATGTAGACATTTAACAGAACTTTGGTAGAAAGATTCAAAATATTCTAAGAATTCTAGCTACGGTTTAGTGTGGTCTTGCTGCTTTTTCAGTTGTATTGCTCCCTGTTGTGACTTCCTTGCATTACTAACCACTCTAGTGTTTTATTTATAAAACTGAATTGAATTAATATTTATTATCCTTTTTCTGTCCCCTTCCCTGACATCTCTTCTCCTCACCCAACATGAGAGTATAACTTGGCTGCAGTGATACAGATCTTTCAGGACCAAAATGGGAGTCTCATGATACTGATGCTCCCTGACCAAAAGTGGCAACGTCTGCTTCCTAGCTAATGGAAACATTAACTCCAGGTTATTCTCTCAAGATCTCAAGGGAATAAAGAAGGACAGCTGCACCCAGTTTCTGGAAACCAATGTCAAAAAGCCAGTCTGCTAGAAAGGAGTGCTGCATTAGGAAAGAGACAGCTCTCCACTCCTTCCCTCTTAGCCCAAGCAGGATAATTTGGGCATGCAACAAGGTAGCCAGACTAAGCTCTGCAACAAGGTAGCCAGACATAGCATTGTTGCATGCCCAGCAGGATAATTTGTGTCACTAACCAACAGCAAATAAATGTCTAAGACCTCTTCTTGAGAGAGATACTAAAGTAGCAGTAGTGTTGGAGTGATGTAGCTGTAATGGTCCAGGAATTATGAGAAGCAAAGATTTTTGTGGGTGATATTTTTTATTGGGCCTGTGAGTGATATCTTTATTTATTATCCCAGCATGGCTGAGAAAAAAGACACGCTTTTGAATGCAAGGTATTCTTCCTCAGATCTGAGTTCAGAGTTAAATCACCTCTGTAGAGCAGAGTATGGCTTTTTCCACCATCTACCAGCTGGCAGAAGATACCTGTAGACTCCGTAAGAACTACTTCACAGTCAGGGCGGCTAGGATCTGGAACCAACTTCCAAGGGAAATGGTGCTGGCTCCTACCCTGGGGGTCTGTAAGAAGAGGCTTGATGCCTACCTGGCTGGAGTCATTTGAGCCCAGTTTTTCTCCTGCCCAGGCAGGGGGTCGGACTTGAAGATTTACAAGGTCCCTTTCAACCCTACTTCTATGATTCTATGATATTTTTTCATGTTCTGCTGGCTATTACAGTCTCTTCTCAGGATACTATGGTGCACAGCTGTTAGGCAGAGCTGCACATATACATATTTTCTGGCACCTGCCTTCTGCTGCCAAAATTTCTGATGGCAGAGGCAGCTGAGCATGGGCAGAGCCTTATGTTACAACTGAACACACAGTTGAAGATCCTTTTTGAATGTTCAAGCTTTGACATGCTCCTCCCAGTGATTAGCATTACTACAGTTCAATCTCTTGGACAACCACAGCAGGCAGATGCTAATAGGTCACAAATACAATTTCACTAAAGAGAATTTTTCAGTTCAAAAGACCATTCAAATATATCCTCACTTGTCACTTAACTCTAAAAACTGAGTAAACTGATGCAGTTATCAGCTCAGGATCGAGTTGATGATGGAACCAACATCAGAATAATGAGGAAAAAACAGTTCACTATTATAGGAGCCATTTCACTTCTCTCACCAAATAAACCAAACACCCTAATTAAGAGTAAACTGAATTAAAAGGTTGTTTTGAAATAGACACCAAAAGTTCTGTGGCTTGTCTTTCTCCTGTCTGAGTAGTCTGACCCCTCACTTGCATGCTAAGAAGCATCTCCACAAGCTATCTGTTTCCTGGACCTTTAGTACATTAAACTTGTCCTGACACACAGCACATCAGCATCATGGACTGTATATATTATGCATTGTGTGGTGTATGCATCGCATTTTACGAAAGACTTTGTGTCCCTGAGGGTTTCTGCAGTAATTTCCATGATTTTGTCCTAGATGGCTTTTATGTGAAAGATGTCAGTTAACTTTAGCCATGAAGAAGAGAGTATACCAGTAACGAGACAGTGATTAAAAGGCAGAATTCATTCTAATGAATGCCTTTCTAATGGTTGCAGTGGCGGAGTGGAGGTGCTGTTTGTGAAAAGTTCCTGGTGCTGAGTGATTTATCCACAGTGGTTTTGGTGACTCTAATTAAGCATCAAATCACTAAGAGTTCAGGACCCTTCCAGTTTATCACAGTGACTTTCCTCAGGCAGCCCCAGGGGTTTGAAAGCAACTGTCTGTGTGATGCTTGTTCTGTCGCACAGAATCCATCTTAAGGCTCAGTAGGCACTGAAAATAGGTTATGTACAATTAAATGGATTGTATTTTTATCTCTCATGATGCCTTATCGTCAGCTTCTCTTTTTAAATTTTTTTTTTTATTTTGTAGCACTAGACCTAGAAAGGATCTTGTTGCTGCTAAGGTTAGGGTTTGTGGTTGGGGTTTTTATTTGTGAGAGCAGGCAAGCTCTGAACTTAGATGTCAATACCAGCAAATACTAAGTGCCAGTGAGATCCAGTGAACAGCTGTTACCTTGAGAACTGTGTCATTACTTTCCCTACGGGCATGCCACTCACTGCTGCTTTGTTCTGGATGTGACTCACAAATCTCCCCACCTCACCTCTCAGGATAATGCCAGCTGGCCAGTACTTACTATCTCTTGGGCCTTATCTAGACTAGGAAAAAGGTGGGTATTTTCAATGCCAGTAGCTTACCTGCAACCCTCACATAACACCAATGTGGACTGAAAACTCCACATTACACCAATTAGGTGTGTTTTAAATCACATTACCAGCATTAGCTTGAAAAAAATAACTGTGTCTAACATAAAATGGGGCTTTCAGAACAAGTCAGGCTAACTTCATCTGGTGTTCTAGGTCTGAATGTACATAAGTTTGGAAGTATTTTGGATCTGAAGTTCTGGGTTTTGCTCACTGATAACATGAATCCAATTTGAAATAGAAGCTGTCACAAAAATTCAAAAGGAAGGCAAGGGAGAGAGATCATCTGGGTGTGCAGCAGGGTGTTGGTGTGCTAGTAGAGTGACAGCTTCTACAGCAGAAAATCTTTGCCATGTGGCAGAATTCAGTAAGCTACTGTGCATGTGGGATTTTATTTTGCAAACAAGCTTTCAGGCCACACACTGATCTCTTTCATTAGCAGAAGACAAAGGGCAGATTATAGACTCTAGTCTTTGATTTGATCAACCACCTGCTATGTCTATCTTTCGCTTTTGGACCCTCCAGAACTATGTCTACAAGCAAGTATATCTCTAAATTTTCTCTTGCTTGGATGTTGACTTTTCAAGTAAAATAATAACATAGATAATTATAAGATGGCATCTATTTCCTCCTTTTTGATTCTGTGAAACCTGGACAAGGCTGACATTCTTCCATGTTGCATAGTGTCTGCATTTCATAGGATAGCAAAATGGTTTGATTGCAATAGTTAACCTTGATGCAATTAACTGTTCCTCAGTGCCAAATGCTTGTAAGCAGGAGATATCAAAATGCAAGTTTTACTATTATCTCCTTTTTTCCCACCTCCCTTTTTACTTTGTCTTAGATGTAAAGGAGCATCCCATTATGGCCTTACAAAGGAACGAAAAAGACGTTCGCAAGATGGCTCTCCAGACTGTAGTTCCACTTTAACAGTAGCGGCTCTTGGCCCAGAGCTCTCTGCAGCTGCAGCTATAGCCTTAATGACAGATGAACCAGGCCTAGTTAATCCAGCCTTCAACCCCACCTCTGAGGACAGCCAGTTGGGGAGTAGTTCTGGAGATCCCAATAGAAGCAACCGAAAAAGAAGTAAGAGCTGAAAAATGATTTTCTTGGAGTCTAGAGGCCTTTCTCTTTATATTGCTGTATGTGTCCTGTAACAGAATCATAGAAAAATCAAATCATAGAAAATCATTAGTCAAAGTATTTATATTTAGGATGAAAAAGGCACATTTTGAAATGATTTTGTGTTTTATGGATACAGTGGTTTCATAGGAAAACCATAGGAAACAAATCTTTCAAAACTCTCCCTAAAATTCCAAAGTTATGTCACTCAAGGAAGTTGGCATTATTAAAAATGAAATACATGGTTAAAAAAAGTGACATCTAAACCCCTGGCAGACATGTAGGTAAAGCCAAATGGGATCTGATGCATGATCATCAACATATCATAGCAGGAGGCGTGACTGTGGGATCATGTATCAGGTCACATCATCCACATTGCCTGTGCAGAGGTACCCCTGAATCAGCTGTCAGGGCTCACAGCTGCAAAAGAACATGGTGCGCCCCCACATCTAGGAGCCTGGATCAGTTGACAGAGCTCCCAGCCATGGGAACGTATGGTGTGCCCCGTGGCTGGGAACCTGGTTCAGCTGATGGGGCTCCCAGCCATGGGCCACATTCAATTAATGTTGTGATAGAAAGTTATTCCACAAAGTTATTCCACATTTTTTGGAAGTCACCATGTGGTTTATTCCTTATTTTATGATGCCATTGATTGCTTTAACATATGGCCAAGTTACAATGTAAGACGTGATTAACCTGGAGGCCCAAGAAGTCTTTCCATGTTTCTTCATTCCTTAGCATGCTACTACCTCCAAAGGAGTGGCATATTTGAAAATACAGTTCGGCCAAATCTTGACATGAGGTTTGGCTGAAGAAAAAGAATTGGTAAAGTCAGAAACAATCGTTGGGGGGAGGTGGGGGAGGGGGGGAAAATGAGCTAGTGATGCATTTCTTGTCTTGGGAAAATGGACAAAGATCTAAAAAAGAATGAGTTAAAAATTAGCTGAAATAAAAACTAAAGAGCAAAGCTTTGGCTCTGAGGACATGTGGTGGAAGAACAGAAGGAAAGGTGCAGACTGAGCATCAGAATCCAAGGCTGGTGGCACAGAATTGAATCCTGCCAGATTAGCTGAATCGTTGGGTGTTAAATCTGGTTTGGGGGAGTTCTGTGCCACTACATGCATAGCACGGAAAGATACAGAGTAATTCAAGTGCCCAGATTCTGTCTATGGCACAGCAAAAACAAGAATACATGATTTGTATTTACATTTGTATACATTTATATTGCCTTGCTAAGTCAGTTTCACTCTTTTTTTCTCCTCCCTCATTAAATAAACACATTATTAGTTTTGCTTAAATTAAAAAATAATGTTCTAATGTATTGCCTATTTAAAACTAGGATCTGTTTCTGGTTTTTCACCTCTCTATTCGTGACTAATTTTACTACAGGAGGTCAGACTAGATGAGCCCAAAGTTCTCCTCTGGGCTCATGTTCTTATTTATATCTATTAAAATATTAACAGTAGTTTGTTTTTTGAGGGAGCAGGGGAAGGGAAGGGAGTGAATGGTGAAAGAGCACTGTGGTAGGTTTACAGCAGTGTCATAAGCTGCCTCCATAGAAAGACCTAGCAATAGTCCCAGTTGCCTCCCTTCAGGTTGGTGGAACATAAAAGGCTCATTTGCTGGGACAATGATCCTTTCTTTAACATGTGTTTTCCACTAGGCATTCCATAGCAATGCTTTAGCTTTGGATAATATAGTCCACTGCACACTTCCTCTAGAAGTGAACACCATATTTAGGACTAGCTTCATAGATGGAATTAAAGATTTATAGACCAGCAGTCAGCAGCACTGCCAGAATGCCACCAAAGCCCCCTGGGTCTGCAGTCCAGATTCAGTGGTTTCAGGGGCTGGACCTGGTCCATGAGCCATAAATTGTCAGTCCATGTTCTAGAGTGTAGGTAGGTAAAAGTAGCACAACGATTCTTAGAATTAAGGCTGATTAATATATCTGTGGGGCCAGGTGAAAAATTTAGGCAGCCAAGTGCAAAGATGAAGGGAAGGGGAGACTACAGAATGCTTTTGCCACTTCTGTGACTTGTGTCCTCCATACATACCTAAGGTGATAGACAAGACATGGTTTTTTATGTCATTCAACCCAAAGTTGCTGCACTGTTTTTTCTGTCTTGCAGCTCAGCACTTCGAACGTTCCACTATAAGAAGCAGGTCTTTTAAAAAAATAAATAAAGCTTTCAGCGTTCTTCGACGAACAAAAAGTGGAAGTGCAGTATCAAACCAGGCTGACCGGGAGAGGGAAAATACTGGCAACTCTATTGCCACAGAAGAAGGTAATGCTTTGTTGTGTATCGTGCTATATACCGTGAAGGTATGAACAAGTTGCTTCACATGACATGATGCATGGGTCTTAAATCTTGCAAGTGGTTTTTAAAATATAACATTATTCTGTCTTTAAAAGAAAATGCAGTTGTGAGCTCAGGGTGACAGGTTATAGAAGCATGACATCTGAATGGGGATGTTCTGCTAATAGAAGGCTTCCTGCAGAGACAATCATGGCATGCGATTGGGAGACTGGGCATCCTGATTCTGTTGCTGGCTCTGTCACTAATTCCCTCTGTGACTAATCAATTCATTTAATCTATGTGTGCGTTTTTATTTTCCCCTAAGATATTTGGATACTACCTCATCCATATTACAGGGGTTGTGGTGCTTTGTTAATGTTTATAAAGCATCTGGAAGATCCCCAGAGGGAATCTGTTTAAAATATTATCGTTATTCCATCACTTGCATTTGAGTTTTTGGTAGCAGATTTATGTCATCATAACCAGATAGGTAACACTGCAAGGACACCAAGCTCTATAACAGGGAAAAAGAGGCAAGTTACTATGTACCAAATGTAAGGATAAGGAAGTGGAAGAAACGTTAAGTAGCACTTAACATGCTCAAAGCACTATTCAAATGTTAAACTAAATGTATTGTATTTGTGGTGCTTGTATGTGAGACTCCAGCACTGCTGCACTGTGGGGAAGTGACAACACCTTTAGAAAGAGAATGGTCTAAACGAAGTTTATTATTACTTCACCTTGAACTTCAGTGATGGGTACATGGGACAGAATATCAGTTCTTCCCCCAAACCAGGTATCCAATTGCATATTTCTGTTTGATTAGATCAGCATTTTAAAAAGGAAAATGCCCAGTTCCCCATTGTTCTGTACCCTGTGCAGATAGTGACACCCATGCAAAAATGAGTGTAAAATGCTGTCAAATCAGAATGGTTGCATTTTACATCCTCTTTGCCCAAGTGATTACACTAGATACAGAGGAACAAAGAGCCCATCTCAAAGGGCCTGATCCAGTTTGGACTCAGAGGCACCTACATTTGGGAGTTGGGCTATCTAAAACCTAGGTCTTGGCCTGCAAAAACAATCTAATTTGACTAGGTTTAGGCACCTAGGATCTCTGTCCAGTTAATAGAGAGATTTAAGTGCCTGAAAATAACAATGCAATTTGACCAGGTTTGACTCTATAGAAAAAATAGAGGTAAGTAGAGGTAGACACTTGGACAACCCAGAAAGCTTAGAAGCTCCTGGAGTTAGTCAGCAGGAAACTGTAGACATACACACATATCTGGAACTCCTATCCTCTTTGGGGCTTAGATGCCTGACTCATACTGCAAGTAAGGTTCCTTCAGTCACTGGGCTTTTTGAAAATCTAGCCCTACTTCTGGGGGCTGGTGCCTGTGGTAAAAAACAGAGAGCAGCAGTAACTTGTACTTCATATCTTACAAGTGGGTTTAAATGAGTGCTCTGGACTTTGCCCAAGACTGAATTTACCCTGTGTGCCCAAACATACTGGGGCAATGTGGAGTTTTGCTACCTCAGCAGAATTCCAAAACCAGAATTTTATCCTTAGTACCTCCACTGACTTGCAGTTTGCAACCCCAAGTCCCACTCTCAACAATAGCTTAGTGCTTAGAATATTTCCTCAGCAAGTAGGAAACCTGAGTGGTGAGTCCACCTTACCCTCAGGAGCTTTGAGCCCACATCTACTTCCCGAGAGTTGTATAACCACCAGGCTTATGCTTCCTATTGAGTCCAGGGTTATGTACAGACAGTCAAAAAGCCTGAGGCTAAATCAATTTAGTTTTTGCAGGTTAGTCTAAACTGTACAGGTTAAATTGAAACAGAAGTGAACAGGCATTTACCTTTGATACAGGAAATGCAGCCACATGTCTGCAGTGGCTCAGGCCAGAGGCCAGGGGGAACTAGACAATGGCTCTCTGGCTGTGTTCACTCCTGTTCCTGCTGCCTCTGAGGTTTCTGGGTTTTTGCAGTCTACAGTCACAGCAGCAGGATTCTGCAGGGTTTCTCATCACTTCCTCGTCCTGCTTCCAGGTGCCTCTGGGATTTGTAGTCCACAGTTGCAGCCAGCAGTAAGTTTGAGTGGGGAAGGGATGTTTAACCCCCCTCCCTGGCCCCAGACACCAGCTGGGGTTTGTCTGAGGGGGCAGTCCCCCCACTGTAGATGGGGCTGCATCCCCAGCTGGGCTTGCCCCCCACCCCACCCCTTGTCAGCTAGCCCTTACTGCTCCAGCTAGGGGGCAGAGGAGCAGAGCCAGACCTGCTCTCTGGAGCAGATAGCACAGCCCAGCCCAGGGCTAGAAAGCATATTGGGATGCTGGGGGACTGTGATTTAACTGGAACCAGAAAGGGGTCTGGGACAGAAGTTTCATAAACCAGTTTGACCCAAATCAGTTAAGTCTGATACTACATTCAATCAGGTTTATCTTAAACCAGTTTTAGCCATTGTGAAACTGGTTTATGTGCACTGAGCTTCTGTTCTGTTACAGATTCAAACCAGTTTCTGATCACTTAAACCATTTTATATGTAACTTCTGTCCCTAGCCCAGAAGTGCAGGTCATGGAGCCGGAAGGACAGTAGGCAAGAGGGAGAATGACTCTGGAACCCAGTGAGAATGAAACTTCCCTGGAAATAGGAATCCTGGATTCCAGAGTCTGTTTCCAGGATCTTTTTATTCAAAACAATCAAAGTCTAATGTAAAATGCATAAGCTTTCTTGAGAAGGGGGCTCAAAACCCAGGCTTCCACCACCGAAGTGCCATTGCCTCTAAGTTGCAGAGGCAGATTGCATGTTTGTTCCCAGAATTCTTTATGTAAGTTGTATTAGACAGTTATGGGTTTAAAAGCTAAGAAGAAAAGGGTAGCAAGGGATGCAGGTCTACCCCTTCCAGGTGAGTACCATAACAGGGGTAGACTCTACAACACCACCATGATTTTTTAGCTGAATTCAGGCTCATTAATACAACTTTGGTATGCTTAGATCAGATCTCTTTGGTACTCTCATTTCACCCCAGCACCAAATATGGGGGTTTTTTGAGCCTAGGTGGGTATGTTAGACACTGAAAAGATCAAAAGCTCATGAGTAGGCATCTAGGAAATGGTGAACTTCAAACTGTGACTACCACCTAAACTTAGGCACCTACTGAGTTTCCTGGCTTGTGGAGCAGGGGCAAATTGGATTGCTCTTTGGAACTGGGTGTCCAAATTTCACTTAAGTTTTTTTTAGATGCCTCTTGTCATGTCTACATGTGCCATTACTGCACAGCAATAAACTGTGGAGCTTGCTGCTCCTGAGAAGCTCCTGGGTGTGCAGTTTACAGTGCATCTGGACCTTAGCACATTGCGCTGGATCAAGATCAGTCCCAGCTGGCAGGGGGTCCTGGAGGTCAGCCTGCCAATCCAGGGCTGCTCTGACTGGGCTCAGTGTGCTGTAGAGGAGCTGGCTGGGGCACAAGGGTGCTTCAGTGCAGGGGGCAGCCCCCACACTGAAGCACCCTCATGCCCAACTGTGCACAGAAAAACTCTGCAGCAGAGTTTATATACAAGTCCTATCCTGCTGTGGAGTTTATTAGTTTTGTGCACCTTAACATGGGTGTATATGTAGACACTGAGGTGTTTACTGCATAGTTAATTAGTCAATTGCACAGTACATGTCTTGTGTAGAAATACCCTCTGAGACCAACCTTGTTCAGGCCCTGTCTTCCACAGTTTTAGCTTTCTCAGCATAAATAGTTCCATTGTATTGCATCCTCAAATGGTTTTCAGAACCAGAAAGGTAGAGAGCTCTTGCAGCATCCTGGGCAGACTGCTGACCACTGGAGTTCTGGGTGGGGAGGAGTCTTACCTTCTCCAGCTCTCTCCACAGCAAGGTCACTACACATCAGTTGGAGCAGAGACACCAGAATGTCCCCTCCAACCTGTAAGTCTTTGCTATGTAGGCAAACAGCCTTGCACCACCCAGCCATAGAAGCTGGATGGTCCTATATGGGACCACAGGATTCTTGCATCTGGCAAACTTGTCTTTCAGCTGCAGCAGCCCCGTGGTGCTGGCTCCCCAGGGCTGCCCCTGGTCCCCTCTTCTCTGTTAGCATATCTAGGGAGGGTACAGAGCTGACCTGGAAAGGGTAGGACTGCCCTGCTTTGACATAAAAGGCAAATAGATAACTCCAATCTGCTGATTCTTTTTATAAAGGTGGTACTGACTCTGGTCTCTGACTTGATATCATCTTTGATAACTTCATTGATATTTTAAAGATGGGAAGTTTTAAACAACTTGTGCACATACTATTCCTTGTTAGGGGAGAAAAAAATCTACATTTGATTTACTGTGGCATCACTCAAATGTCCAATTATGTATTTAACTGACTATTTGCATGGACAGTTATTAAGATGACTTTAGTTGCATATGCAAATAAGATATGGAATTATGCACATACAGTTTTGAAATGTGTTTCTAAATGCCTAGTTACATATTGGAAACAAGAACACAAGTGAATAACTTGAAACAAGATGAACACATTCCTACTAAAATTGTTTATAAGTTCTTTGCAACTAGTGCTTTTTGTAATGTATACTCAAAAGTTATCAGTCTCTTTCCTCTTGCTGGAAGAGGAACTGAAAACTCTTCTACCTAGGAACCAATCTTAATCATCTCGACAAAAAGCAACATGCTCCATTTTTTGTTTTTTTCCCCTTCAGTTGTTCTCTATAGTCTACAGTTTGACTGTTGCTGCTGTTCGATCACACACTAAAGATGGATGGAGTTGGCTAATAATAACACAGTCAGCTTTTCAGAGTGTTGTCAGCTTCTTGCTACAAATTCTCTCTGCTTTACTGAGTCCTTTATCCATTGTCTGAGGATACTATTACTTGGAAACTGTGGCACTTTAAGGGGGGCAATGCCCTTCTCTCAATGGTCCATTGGTTTCCAGGCTTCATCACCTACTTTGTGGAGTCATCTTGATTCATCAATATTCAGATGAATTTCCCCCATTTTAGATCTGACAGTTGTTAACTTAAGTTATACTTTGTACCTCATGATTACACTGAGGTCAGCAGCAGTGCAGGTGGTTTAATTGCCAGCATTATAGTAAATTATTTCTCTGTGGTTGTCCATTCATCTTCTGTTTATTTCTAAACATGTGTTCTGTTCGAAGCAATATTAATCAAAATGGGATTTAAGAGCCAGGCTGTCTTTTGCACTGAAAACTGTTTAGTGTAGAAAAGTTTGGAGTCATGAGGCCCCTGTTATGACACCTTGATTCTCCAGCTGTGTCAAATCTGGCCCAATTTAAACTGATCTAGATTCTCTAGTATTTTATGATCATTGGTCCTGGTTGTCAAGGGATTGACTGTACACTAGCTGGAAAATAATGGTGTGGAACTGTAATCTGTCTTCTTTCTTCTGTCCCTGCTTCTGGCTGATCTTTTGATGTAGTGAGTGGGACAAAAGAGCCATCATTTACATCATCATACAGATTATTCCAGTTGTTGGGATTATTTTCTATCAACTGTTGCCAAATTCACTTCCTGCTTCTTCAACTTTTTTCAGACAGAGAATCTCATTCATCTCCCCTTACACCAGTGTGACTCCACTGACTTCCTAAGTGAGGAGAGGATTCTACTTCGGAGGTCATTGAGCATTGGACCTGGAATTTGACAAAGTTTTGTCACCAGCATTTTAGGTCTGTAATCAGACCTTTGTAGTGCACAGCAATTGGCTTAGTCTCTAACACTGAGGGTGAAACTGGCATCTGCTTGATAGATGACTTGCTTCTGCCCAGTCTCTGATTTACAATTTTACTAACCTTAGATGCTAACAGGGAGGTATATGATCAGTGCACAGGGTTCCAAAAGGTAATAGTAGGCATTCTTAATTAATTTTAAGTGGTGTCTTTAATATAGATATAAGCAAATATAACAATTGTATCATTATCAAACCACTGACAAAAACTATTATAATGTAACTGCTATAGCTACATAATTCTGTAGTGTTCCAGATATAGAAAAAAACCATTGCAGCTTTATCTTTGTTTCATTCAGGGCTCAAGTTATTGCAGTTAGTTGACTCCTATCATTTCAGTACTATGCAGACATAACTGTTACATGGTACCAACTGATGTGTACCCCCTGAGTATCACCTTCCCCTCCCTTTTTAAAACAGTTAAAAGGTGTGCTTGTCCACAGCCATAGAAAGCAATAGCATTCACCTAATGGCTTGTATCCACTTTGCTGGCAGATGTCTAAAATAATTTGTACTGTACAAAAAAGCTAAGAAAGGTTAGTGGCTTTAGGGAACTAGAAAACTATTTCAAGCACATGCCTGTGATACTTCTTGTACAGGTTTCCCTCACTTCCTGCAGGTTCTGTATGTGCATATTCACTCTTATGTGATGACCCTTTTTATACCAAAAATGTGTTATATGTGAGGTAAATTCACTCTTATGCAGTCGGTGTGGTGGAAGCCTGCAGTCAGCTGCTTTGTGCGGTGGATTGTGGGAGTGATGCGCACCAAAAATATAGTCTCCTATGTGGAGCCGTGCTCCTTGCTCATTGTCTGCAACATGTGTTTCTGTACTTGCTGTCCCCATTATGATAGTTCCCTGTGCTTGTGTGTACTGTCTGCTGTTGGTGAGTACCAAAATTGTCTTGTAAAAGTAGTAGAAATGGGTCTGGGAATCAGTACAGTCGAGGTCTTGGAACGCCTCTCTATTTGTTACATTGTAAAGTGGGTTCCCTTTATGCAAATTTGAGTTATGCGCCCTTTTCCAGGAATGCACGTACAGCACAAAGCAAGGGAAACTTGTACAAAGAAAGAAAAATGGCTTACACAAACCATTATAAACCTAATTTATCCTAGAGATAAGCCAAGCCAAGAATCTAGTACCCAAACCAAATTTGAATTCAAAATTGCAGCAGGAGATTGGGATTTCCAATCCTGTTGTTACAAATGTTGTTTAGTTGTAGTCCAGTTCTCACAAGAAACTGATTTTAAGGACTTAAAATCCATGGTGCTTAACAAGATGTGTATAAATATATATGGGGGGTGCATATATAACAGGGACGGACAATTATTTCGGGCGGAGGGCTGCTTACCCAGTTTTGGCAAGCTGTCGAGGACTGCATGGGTAGCCCTGCCCCTTGACAGGTGCCCTGCCCCCTGACAGGTCCCCTTCCCCCTGGTCACCATCTTGGAACCAGTGTCCCAATGTCTTGGGACCAATGTCCCAGGGCCAGCGCCGGTGGGGCCCAAAAATAATTGGGAAAATGAAATATTAAAAGAATTTGTGCAATGTGAAAAATTAGGATGATTGAAAACAGTACCAATTCCAAGCCAGGACAAACATGTGTGAAAAATACAGAATTATTTATCTGGATCTTTATTATCAGTATAAACAACAATACCTGGGAGACTCGAGCACTGGGTCATCCCCAGTAGTGCTATGATATACAACAAGGCATTAGTCATTTCAAGTAAACTTGCCTCACTATGGATTGTGGATAGACAAGAGAGACAAAGGGAAAGAGCTGAGATCTGATATCACCAGGATCTACTCCTTTCTCCCAGAACTATTTGTCATGTCTGCAATCCAACATATAGTACTTGGATTAGCTGCCTCTGTCACTCGTCTATGACGTCCCTGTTTACTGGATGTCTCATCCTTGTACTGAGGGACTACTGATGACCTCTTGATGATCAAAGTTTGCTTAAATTCTGGAAACAAAGTTTAAAAAAAGGCAAGAATCTGATCCTACAAAAAGATTGATGTGGGTAAATTTTAACCAGGGAAATAATGCCATGGGCTTTAACTGACTACACTGTGTGTCAAGTCAACTAAAATTAACTAAGATATACAGTACTGGGTGCAAATCTGTTGATAATACAATCAAGATATATTAGAGCTAAGCAACTGACATTATCAAACCTGGGCTTGGAAATTAAGGGCCAAAATATTTCAATATCAGTATTATTAGCAGGTACACAACAAGCATGTGAGTTGATGTAATTTCAGTATTGGCTAATATTAAGCAGCATAAACTTTGGGGAGAAATAGGCAAGCATGATTAACATTTCATGGGAAAATCTTGTGGCAAAAGTGCTAATGCAAGTTAAATACCCTACATCGTTCCAACTGTGCATAGGTGTTAGTCTAACTTGGGCTTGTTGTTCTCTTCCATGTCATTTGTAACTGCAGTGGGGCCTCTGGTACATCAATAATTATACAGGCTTATATCAAAGGAATATTGCTTAAGGAAGAAGTAAACCAGATATCTGTTTTATTATTATTGACAGATTCAGAGTACTCCATATCACTCCTGAGGAGACAAATACAGTCGTGCAGGAAAAAATCTGCAAGAATCACCAAGCACAGGACAGAAGGTTTACTTCTTTCTAGATTCCACAGTTCATCAATGTGTAAAAACTGGAAATGTAAAAGAATAAAGGCAGGCATGCATGCTCTGGGGTTTTCCTAGTCTGGAGGGATGTGGACAACATTGAGAGGGTCCAGAGGAGGGCCACCCACATGATCCAGGGACTACAGGGCAGGCCCTACGAGGAGAGGCTGTGGGACCTGAACCTGTTCAGCCTTCACAAGAGGAGGCTGAGGGGGGACCTGGTGACCGTCTATAAACTCACTAGGGGGGACCAGAAGGGTTTGGGAGAGACCTTGTTTCCCCTTGCGCCCCCTGGCATAACAAGGAATAACAGCCACAAGTTGTTGGAGAGTAGGTTTAAATTAGACATCCGTAAGAACAGCTTCACAGTTAGGGCAGCTAGGATCTGGAACCAACTTCCATGGGAAGTGGTGCTGGCTTCTACCCTGGGGGTCTTTAAGAGGAGGCTTGATGCCTACCTGGCTGGGATCATTTGAGCCCAGTTTTTTCTCCTGCCCTGGCAGGGGGTCGGACTTGAAGATCTGTAAGGTCCCTTCCGACCCTACTTCTGTGATTCTATGATTCTATGAAAACCTGGTTTAAAAGGCTAGATACGTAATTATATCTATGAAGGTGAGAGAGGGAGAGGGATAAATGGGATGCATGAAAACTAAGAGTTGGATTCTGCAGCTGGCTGTCCAAGGGATGTGCAGACTCTTTGCCTACCACCTCTTTATTTTAAAAATGAATAATTGAAAGAAATGGTGACAAATTATTTTTTACCCATAATTGTAAAAGAATATTTATTTTCACATGTATTCATAATAGCTCTCAAAAGGGGTTAAAAGATCCCATGTGGCAAAGATTCAAAATGGCTTCCCTTATGTACAGGGGACTTACATCAATAAAAGATGTTTAACAGGTTAATATAGTCAATATTTGTTAATATATTTAATATATACTGATATTCCTGTAAAATAATACTGAGCCAAGGATTATTTCCGTGTGATAACTCCTTTGATTTCTCTTAGACTCAGGAAAAAATAGGGCACCTTAGAGACTAACTAGTTCAGAGAGACATGAGATTTCATAGGCTTGTATTCAATGGCTGTGTCAAGATGCATGTGGACATTTGGTTCCCTGGGGACAACTAGAGGCGGTGCACCCTGCACCACTGCTCGTTGTCCCTGGGGAACATCTGTGCCACGTGTGCTCTGTAACATGGGTGACTGGTGCCTCCTGACTCCAGGGGGCACCAGATTGCCGACGGGGGGCGGTCTCCCAGTGGCCGATGGCTGCTGGGGGACCCCCCCTCCCTGGTCAGCCAATCGCCAAGCTTCCGGTGAAACTGGAACTGCACTTCTGATTTCACGGCTGGTGCTTCCAAGGGTTGCATGGCTAATCTCAGGGGGTGCACATACACCTGCATGCACCCCTATGCTCTGGAGTGTGGCAGGTTACCCTGGGTGGGGCAGGAGAAGCTGGGGCCAGCACTGGGCTGTCTCCAACAACCTTACCTGGGGTTCTGGGGGCATCCCAGAGCAGCAGCAGCAGTGATCCTGCCACATGGAGCCTGGCCAGCAGTAGAGTGCAGCTCTAGCCAGCCAGGCTCTGGCTTCAGGCGGCGCACACTGCTGCCATGTATACTGCTCTGCCTTTTTTCCATGGGGTTTTTTTGACCCTTGGATATCTCCGTGTCAAAAAAACCCCCTCTATACTGCTCCCTTGCAGCATGGACAACAACAGAACATGCGGTACATGGCACTGCTGATGTGTCCATGGCACAACACACTGCACAGCCATGCTTGTCTGGACACAGCCACTCTGCTCTTTTAGATCTTTTCTACCCACCTTTTGCTTCCTCCCCCTGTTCTCTTCCTTTATTTTTAATTCTTGTGTATTTTAATCCCTTTCTTTCTGCAAATCCATTCACAGAATCTGACAAAGCTGGCTGTTGCCAACAAAGGCTGATGCCCCTACCTTCTACCTGACTTGGGGCTAATATAGCTAAGTGGCTCTTAAGACTCAGATGATTTGGAGATGGATTTTTATCAGAAAGTTTAGTACTCCTTAAAGAAAAGGAAGTGACAGAAATACATGATGTAAAGAGAGCTGTGCCCTTTGAAACATAAGTTTAGGAAATATAGGTAAAAAGAGGAAACAACCACTCAGCCTTCCTTGGGTACAGCAAAATTCTGCTCGCTACAGTTTGGGAGACATAATGGTTATATGCTACCTAGTGGTTTTATAAGTCAAGTGAAAATGTCATCCAAATTCTGGCATGGAGAGAAAAATATCATTCTTCCGTTCAAATAAATTGCCTGTTACTTGAATCCAAATTAATCATTCTCTCTACATTGCATTGTATAGTGCCAATTAAAGATGTACTCAAGCACACACCAGACTCAAAACACAGGAGCAGACTGTTGTTTCTGGGAGCCTATACAGATGTCTAACATTTGGCATGTACATTCCACGCTGAGCTGGGATCTGTATCAGGGAATATAGTCATATTGGTTTTTTGTGTAGATGGGAGGTAAAGCTATGTTGTAAAGTCTGGGACATGCAACTGTCTATTAGTTTTGCCTCATACTTACAGGCCTGCAGTAACATTTCGCCAGGCAATAAAGTAGAAAAGTCACATCCATTATTAATAGCTTCAGCTGTTTCTGCCATTTCAGCTAAACGGATTCCAAGCAGAGACACCTTTTTATGCCTGCATTTCCCAATGAGGTTTTAAACCAAGCCTTCATTGTATTAGATATGACTGGTTTGGTTAGAAGAAAGTAATTTGTATATGTAGTTGAGCCCACAGAGTTTGGAAAGTCCTAGAAGTTTGGAATGTACCTCATCTTCATTCATAGTTTCCATGTGCTCTTCCTCCAGACACCCAAAGACTTTGTACACCAGCATTAGGAAAGGAGCCTGGGGCTTCTATACACTGAGTATGCTTGAACACTGTACAGTGAAGTAGGATCGGTTCTGTAGAGAAACTGCAGGGCATCTTGTTCTCCTTTAATTCACGGTTGAGATTTGAGGAAATATTTCCTCAGGTTTTGTGAGCCAAGCACCCTCTGGTATTTTCTTTTGTGGTGCTGAAACACAAGGTTAATAAAGCAGTCATACACACTGCTCAGGCAGCCCCTGAAAACTGACATGCACCAGTAAAGAAAGTCTATGATGGATCATGATGTGATGGCAGTGTTTGTAGGATAACCTGCTCTGCCTTTGGTGTGGTGGTTACACATGTCCATGCTATAGTCCTTGGCCCAGTAAAGAATGACTGCCTGGAAGGGAGCAAGTTTTAAGGCAAAGAATGTATTGAGTTCTCCTGAGATACTTGAACACATTACTGCGGTCTTCTTAAATTTGATCTGCCTGAATCACAATAAAGGTCCTAGTTATATTTTGGGGTACTATACTGCAGACTGGCAGGAGTCCCAGTACATAATGGTAGAAGAGAGAGAGAAGAACTGATAGCAGAAAAATGAAAGCTTGACTGTATTAATCAAAAAATCATTTCAAATCTATCATGTGCATCCTTCCCTTGCCTTTCATACCTACTGATAAAGCCTAACCCAGCTGGATCTGCTGTGGATGCCTCAAAGCTGTGTGTGTTTTAAGTGTTTTACTAATGTAGAATTATTATTCCAAATACATATCTTTTTATATGCATTTCAGGTTTTCCCAGATTGTATCACCTGATCCCAGATGGTGAAATTACCAGTATTAAGATCAACCGTACTGATCCCAATGAAAATCTGGCCATTAGGATTGTTGGAGGCAGTGAGACTCCTTTGGTTCACATTATTATACAGCATATTTATCGAGATGGGGCAATTGCCAGAGATGGAAGATTGCTGCCAGGAGACATGATACTAAAGGTACTGTACTATGGAGGCTTGATGAAGGGACAAATCTTAACAAAAAGATATGTAGGTAAAATACTACAGCAGGCTTAGGGGATGTAGATGTGGGTCTGTAAAACAGCATAATTTTGGAAAGATGTGAAATTACACTGCAGACTGCTACTTTGTGAAGTTTTTTCTACAAAATTGACAATTATTCAGAAAATCACTTACATGCATGGTTAAATGCTGACCTGAATACAGATGCTTTCCTGAATTACTGATTTAATGAATTAGGATTGATGAACTACATGGATAAATAAGAACTGACCATAACCTTTGCTCAAATCTTGAATCAAACCATTTCTGAAGTTTACTGATTGATTAGTGTGGTTATTTTCCCTTGCGTTTCAGGCTTCCTCTTTCTAGCCTGAGGTGGGATGACTGAAGTGCAATGCAGGAGGCTGTGACCCAACCAGAATCAGGATTTTTAAGGAAGTGTTTCCAGTTGAGGGCTAACTCTCAGTTGGTGCAATCTCCAGTTACATGAGCACAGAATTGGCTGAAATTTCTATGGGCCTAATCTGGATGAGGTTACTAAAGTCTTCAGTTATCAGATTAGAAATGCCAAGCACTTTGCAGGCTGAGACATTGTCGACACTGTTCAGAAAACATCACTAGGTCAACTGAGCAACTAGTGTTGCCTCAGACTCACAGTGGCTGAGGCAAAACTGACTGCAGAGGAGCAGGAGAATTCCCCTCATGCCCTGAGGCTGCCCAGAGATATCCCTGAGTTTCGCAGGGGCTAAAGCAAGCAACTCTGGGGTTCAGGAGGGGATGAATTCCCATCAGTTCCCTGCTGCTGCCCCAGCTGGAGGACCCTGGCCTAGGGTAGAGACAAGCCCCCAACAAGGAAGGGGCTTCCCAGTGCCCCCATGCTGGGCTACAAGGGCAGGCACCTGGCCAGGAGGACTGCTTCTCCCTCCTGCCTGTGGCAGCCACTGAAGCAATCAGCAGCTGGGCGGGGGGCGGATTGCTGAGGGTCAAAAAAGCCCACACCATAGGGGCTTTCCCTTTCCCTGCTCCAAGGGACATGCCCCTTGGAGCAGGCAGCATAGCCCAGGGCTGCTATGTATCTTGGGATGCTGGGGTACTGTGTGTTAACTTGAACCAGGAAGGGATCTGGGACAGAAGTTCCATAAACCGGTTTAACCTAAATCAGTTAAGTCTGAAACTACATCGAACAGGGTTATCTTAAACCAGTTTATATGTAACTTCTGTCCCTGGCCCAAAAGCCTCAGTCTGCAACCCTTTCAGGATCCTGGGTAGCTGTTTGAGGAAGTAAGCTGAGTTGAACTCAATGCCGTAGAGAATACACCACTCTCAGTACCCCCACTAGCTAATCTAAAGCTCACTTAGATGTGGTGATATTGTAACAAGGCAGTATCCCAGGGGAAGAGAGGAGTGACTGCAACACCCCGATAGTTGCCCAGCCCCTGCTCAGTTTCCTCTTCTGAGTATATCTCCCCTCTCACCTGCCACAACTTGATGTTGTGTCCTGTATTTGAGCAAGGCTGCCTCTGAGAGTCCCAAAGTAGGTCCCAGTCCCTGGTCTGTGGGCTAGCTAATGTCTGGGCACTCAGATATGTTTTCCAGGACTTGGCCCTTCTAGCCTCAGTCCTTTTTCCTCTCAGCTGGGTCCCACAGCCTAGGCCCACTGGGTCAGATATGATTTTTGGTTCCCAGTCTTGTCTTGGCCCACTGCAGGACTGCCCTACTCTGGGCTCGCTGGCCCCCATACTGCACCCCACTCTGGGTCTCCCACTTTCCTGCAACACCTTGAGTCTGTCTTCAGGAGTGCTCAGGGCTGATACGTGCCTCTTGGGGGCCAACAGGACCTCCAAAACACCCCTTTAGTCCCAAACCCAAGCCACTGGCAGTAAACCATAACCAAAAGAAAAGCCTCCTGGCTACAACCAGAACTCTCCCCTCCTGGGTAATTGAATAACACTCGGCAGAAAAAATAGCATAATAACCCTTTAACCCACAGGAATATCTTCCCTTCCCACCCACCAAAAGGCAGGCAAGCACCCAGAGCAGCCACCTCCCAAGTTAGGCCCTCCTTGGGGCTCTCACAGTCTGGCCAGTAGTTCCCAGGCAGCTCAGCAGTCCTGCAGGCACCCCTTGGCCAGTTCTCAGCAAGGAGCTTGTTTTCTGTGCAGCCTGCAGGGCCTGTATTTATAGGGCACTCTGGCCCCTGTGCCTGCTGGTCACCTGCATTCCTGGGTTGTTACCAGTGACCCCTGTCCTAGCCGATCTCGGGCAGCTTCAGGGCTCCTTGCCACTGGTGCTGGCTCTGGTGGTAAGTGCTTGTTCCAGTCTTTTCCCCTTTTTGCTCCGTGCCTGGGCTTGTCTGACCAGCTGACCCCCCAGGACTCTGCCCTCCCTTCTCAGTAATAGGGTAGGGACCCTGTTACAGATATGAGCTGTAAATAATTATTTGAACTTCAGTGCAGACAAACTGCCAATATATAACACCAAGGCTTTCTCAGAGGCATACCTCTTGACAGCCATCTTGCTGCTTCCTTCATAATGCCTGCCCTTTGGCTGCTGGTAGAGAGTATATCCAGCAACACCGTACTCTGCAGATTTGTGTTAAGTTTTCTTTGCCAGTAATCTAACAGGGGTGGATCCTTTGGAATACAGAGCACCACCAGTAAATTGCTGAGCTTTCTCAATTTCTATTAATGTCACTGGTAAGTGATAACTAAGAACACTTAGCACCTTGCAGAATTGTGACCTCAGATTATATAATTTTTATCCATTTACCAATTAGTCTAAATCAGTGGTGCTCAACGTTTTGGTCCCACAGGCCATATGAATAATGCTGAGCCAGTCCACAGTCCCAGGATCAGGCCCTGCACTGGCCCCAAGTGCCTAGATTGAGCCACAGGGCCCCTCACCACCTCTGCCCAGCTTTGCATGCTGGTTGCCAGGCTACAGGGCCCCTGAAGCCCAATTGCAGCACTACCTCCACCTGGCCCCATATCCTGGGATCGGATCCAGTGCTGCCCTGTAAGCCTGATCTAGCATGTGGTGCTGTGGCCCATGTGGCACCCCACATACCCATGGGGAGCCCTGTAAGCCAGATGACCTAGTGCTGGGGGTTGAATCTGTCCTATCAGCTGGGGGTTGAGTAGATGTAGAAGCACATATTAACCAGTTCTGTCATTGCAATGGTAAAGCATTGGTGGTGCCCTTGTCTCCCTAGCTTTTATCTATAGCACGCAGTGGGGTGGGGGTGGGGGGGGTGTTCCTGCTTTTATGCCTCATGGTTGAGAGTTTGAAGTGATTCAGGAAATTTTGGGAATTCTTTGGTAGCAGTTGCTTGTGAATCCAGGGATCTAGATTTGATGGCCTTGGAGTGCCTTAACAGTCCTGTATTCTTATGGTCATTAAAGGAATTTTGCAAGATCAAAACGAAACTCACCATTTGTAGTCAATGATGCTTGTTCTATTAATCCACTGTCTTGTTTAAATCCTCCAGTAAACACCAGTTCTAAGTTAACTAAAAGAAAAAACTTAACCAGTATCATGGAAATTTTATTTTCTGTTTTTCTTTTGTTTTGGTCCCAGCTCAGAGTAACAGAGTTGTAGAACTGCTGAGCAGACACTGAATTTAGGATATTTGTACACTGCAGTCCAACAGTAGAATTGCAGTTTACATAGACATACCCCAGGTAGCTTTAAACTAACTGGCTTGAGTGCTGAGAACAGAGTAGCCATAGCAGCACTCCAGTGTGTTAGCCACCCAAGTAGTTACAAAGAGTCCTGAGTGAACTCTGTAGTCCATGATGAATATCATTCTGCTGCTGATAGCACTTATTGGTTCCCAAGTCTAGTGAGTTTAAACCAAGCTTGTTCATGTCTAAATGAGCGGTAGTCGCTCTTTTGGATATGCAGTGTTGACTTTCTAAGAGTGACAATATTAACCACCTACCAAACAAAGCCAAGCAGAACTCTTCTGTATGCCAAGAATAATTGTTGTTGCAGTCTAGCAGCACTCATCATAATGTAAAACTGCATAGAAATTGTCTGATTTGCTTTTCCCAACAGCAAATTAAAACTAGGCAAATATTTTTCATTTTGTAGTGATAAAGTGAAATATCCTGTCTGTTCTGCAAAGCAAGAATTGCAGGCTTAGTTTATATTTCTATCATTTGTGGCTACTTGAAAGAAAACAAAAACCAGAACATTTTGGAAAGCTTGGAAAGCTTTGTTCTCTGATGCCATAAATCAGCCTAAGGTCCAGCTATAGTTAACTATCTGGACTAGAAGTGGACCAAACTATGCAGGCTTGTTTTCCCTGTTCTGATCAGCTTTTTGATTAGGTAGGAAATGAAAGATTCAGATTGTCTACTGTAACCGTAGCAGTTTTGAGATAATGAACACTGCACTGCAGACAAGTTACTGGGAGTGAAAGGAAGGATAGCAGGGAAGAAGATTTCAAATTAGAAGTTAGTGGAATAAAGATAAGATATATGAAGAGATATTGGGGCCTGAGGAGGAATAGTAATAAAACTGAAAAATAACAGTCATGTCTGGAGACAGTCAGTGAGAAAAGAAAAAGACAGCAATCGTCCATATGCTGCATCCTATCCTTGAGGGGAATAATATTATGTAATAGGAATTTGGTCTTTTGTGTGACACAGCTTGCAATGCTGCATGTCACTTAACATGAACGCATCTGTGCAAATAGATGAGCTATCTACAGTGCCAGTTCAGATTAGGCAGTCTTTTCACCATTGATTTATGATTCTCTCTTCTAGGTAAATGGCATGGACATCAAAAATGTGCCTCACAACTATGCCCTGTCAATTCTGAAGCAGCCCTGTCAAGTGCTTCGACTCACAGTACTCAGAGAGCAGAGGTACCGATGCCGAAACAATGGACTTCCTTTTGAAGCTCACAACTGGGATGACAGTTTTCATGTGGTTCTAAGCAAAAGCAGCCCAGAAGAGCAGCTGGGAATAAAACTGGTCCGCAAGGCAGATGAACCTGGGGTATTTATTTTCAACTTGCTGGAAGGAGGTGTGGCTGCCCGTGATGGACAGCTTCAAGAGAATGACCGGGTTTTAGCAATTAATGGGCACGATCATCGGTATGGCAGCCCAGAAAGTGCAGCCCAGCTGATACAGGTTTGTCATGATGACTTGACCCCAGCTTCATTTAATTAGAGTGAAAAAGCATTTTTTCTACCCAGTGCCATGCCCCTGCCAGACCCCTAGCCACACATATTGTGGGGGGTTGAAGGAGCATCCCACAGGCAGTGTTTGCAGACAGGTGACACCTATGTGATCCCACTGACTTCATGAAATGAAAATGAGCCTAAATTTTGCTAATGCCAGCCAAATACTCCATAAAAAGGCTGCCTTAATGGACATCTGCTATATGTTCAAGGTCATTCAAAAAGCTTAAACATTAACTTTAATCTCTGCATATCTTTTTTGTATGTAATAAGGTTTTTAACTCCTTGGATGCTAGTTTTGCTGACATTTGTCACAATTACAATTCTTGGGATAGGCAACCTGGTATGAAGTGACTGCAGCCTTAGAATATGCACCTTTTGTCAAAGATGATTAAGAACACATGCTCTGTGCCCAACAGAGAAAAATATTGAGGACATTTATTGACCTTCAGTCTCAATGGCTGCGTCCCACTTACAGTCACTTAAAGGCACTAGAGATAGGCCTAAATCCAGAGACAGCCAGGCACATTTGGGAAGACTGAAACTGCACCTGAATTCTTACAATTTCATCCAGTTTTACTGATTTAGCTTTATACAAAATATTAAAATGGCATCTCTCCAAGTTGCCCTTAGCAAAAGTTATTAAAACAAACTTACTTACATTGCCTGACTTCCCTCCAAACTTGCCCCTCCCGAGACATTTTGTCTTTTTTTCAGACCTAATCCCTGCAAATTCCTTTTTAAAAATCCACAAAGCAGCCAGCAAGACAATGAAGAACCACTCAGTCAACTGCTAAACCTTTTATTTCTGGCATTCCTCATGCTTAATCTGTTTGTTTGGTTTAGAAGGGGGGTACACAATGTTTATGTAGCAAAGATTTTTACATGCATAAATGCAAACACAGTTCTCCCCTCAGGCATACCTATTTAACCAGGGTACATGGGCTTGGCATTTGGCTCAGTGTACCATTTTAACAGGTATACTTTTTAGCATAGTTCATGGACTCCAGGGATCAATGTTCATTGAAAGTCTGTAGTGGAGATGGGTGTGTGTCTAGAGATAGATGTTCCATAGTAGCTCTAGTCCAAGTAGAGTACATGCTGGCTGAGGAGTGTGTTTCTGTGCCATCTTAAATAGAATCAGTTGTTGTAGTTCTGGGTTTTCCTATGTAAACTGGGAACGGAAAGGGGGAATGGTCTCTGAAGAGAACAAAGTCTCAGATGAAACCTTTCATGAAAATCAGTATTCCTGGAACATGTCCTTATGCTTACAAAACAAAGCAATAATGCTTTATAAGCAGAAAACAGCCCTGGGATGAGATGGAAAAAATGAATAACGAGACCATTCACACAAATGTTTAAAAACACAACTAAAGATCTTACTAAATCCAGAGAGTGTCTGTTATTTATACTCATGTCTGAAACACACACCAGCCTCCAGGAATTTAAACAACAGGCCCATCAAAGAGTCAGTCATGTTTCCATGCAGGCCAGGCTTCTAGTGCACTGGTGTGAGTTTGATTCATGAAGGACTGAATTCCCAGACTCTCTCCTTTTTGTCATGTTGCTTCATAAATTATGATTTGTCTTACTTTTGCCTTACTTTTTTCCAAGTTATTTCAGGGGCAAGCCATCATATTATTACCACAAACATGTAATGTTGGATTTTTTTTACACAACATATTGCAGTCTCTGATTTCTTCAATTTCCAAAACCCAAATGTGAGACATTCAGGTTCAGCAAAAGCCTAAAAATCCATACTGCATGAAGCTTAAAATATAATATAAAAATACATAACCTTAATTAACATTTGCAAAGTGCCATATGTCTCTAGTGGTGTTAGCAGATGAGCTTGTATCATCTTGTTCTATAGCTTCAGTGTCCTGACTCATTGCACTTAATATAGCTGAGAGAACATCAGGTTTATGTAGAGCATCTTTACATTTGGCTTCTAAATAACAAATAAGTGAAAGAGGTCTGATTCATTAGCCCTAGCAGTTTAGATATTAGCATATAAGAAGTAGTTGTTAAGCAGTGGATTAGGTGTCTGGCTCTCATAAGCTCATTCACAAAAGCCAAAATGAAGAAAATATAAAGGTGATAATTAGGGTTGTACATCAGATACAATTTTTGAATTTTGTATCCTTCACATTTGTCTCACCACCAATGATCAAGGCCTTATGTCAAAATGAATGAAGTTGGTTTAAACCAAGAGTAGGCAAAATATGGCCTGCAGGCTGGATCTGGTCCATGGAGGGACTTTTTCCAGCGGTAGTTCCCCCAGCCCTGCCTGGCCCAAGCACCATCTGGCCTATGGCATGTCCTATCACACCTAGGCACATGGCAGGGCAGAGGTGCTCTGCAGCCAGACTGCCTTTCTAGGAAACCCAGGTAGTGGCAGCAGCTCCTTCTGACTGCCACCACTGCTGGCCCCAACCCCATGATACTGGTGGGGACCTGCATGCACAGCACCAACCCCACCCCACACCCACTCTGGACTTGGCCCAGTGAAGTGGCCCATCTCCGGACCAGCCGCAACCCGTGTGTGCAGCCCTGGCCTGGCCCACCCTGCACCTGCTCCAGATTCAGGGGCCCAGGCTAAGCAGTGGTGATGATGGCCAGGCAGAAGCTACTGCTTGGTGTGGAGGCAGAGTGACTCCTCTCCTTATCCGCTGCCAGTCCCTTCTTGTTGCAGCCACTTGGAGCCTTCACCCAAGCTGCCCTGTGGCTCCTCTCCACTGCCACCACTGCCCTTCTGGGCAGGCCAGAGGTGGTGGTGACAGCAGCAGGGAGGGGCTTCAGGCAGCTGCAGCAAGAAGGGCCCAGCAGCAGCGAGGGGGAGAGGCTGCTTTCCCCCTGTGCAAAGCAGCAGCTTCTGCCTGGCTGCTGCCGCTGCTTGGCGTGGGTGGGCAGTTCGGAGCAGGCACAGGGGAGGCTGGGTTCAGGGCTGTGCATGTGGGTCCTGGCTGGTCCACTCTGGCCAGGGTGAGTCTGGCATGGACATGGGGTGGGCCAGGGTCAGAGATGTGGCTGTGCACTGTTGGCGATGAGGAGCCGTAGGGCACATGGGCTCCGGGCTGTTGTGGGGGATAGGAGGTGCTGACCAGCCAGCTCCCCAGAACTACCTATGTGGCCTGAAGGCCCAAATAATCGGCCTCCCCTGGTTTAAACTTACAGCTTTTTACTTCTACTTCAGCCAAAAATTGCCTATGTTCTTGACTAGCAGGAGAGTGAGATCTGATGAAACAACTATTAATAGACCAAGCAAAAATGTTAATAGTTTTTATATGGAAAAATGCTAACTCAAAAGCTGATTTTGTCTCTTTTATAACTTCATAAAATCCCATGACTTTATGATAAGTGACATAGTTAGTGACCTGGAGAAAAAAGCAAGCATATCTTAAGGCAATGTCTTTTAGTGGGCCAACTGTATAGTTGGAATAAAGTTAGACAAGCTCTTGAACGCAAGGCATTCTACAGGTCTGACCTGGCTAATGTAACATTTATAGTAGATATCCTTATTGAGATTTTCCTAGTCATTCTAAAAGGAATTAATCAAATTGACAACCTTCTTGTAAATAATCAATTATGAGACAAGCTGAGTGAGTGAATAGGTCACTGATCTATTCTACTCATTGTAAAAGTTTTGCAGTGCAGCTCTGATTTCATGAGGTCTGTCATTAGGCAGTTTAGCCTTATGTTCATAGTTTTTTTTAAAACATCTTCACAGATTAGGGATTGGCATGTTTTTAACTGAGATTCCAGATTCTACTCTCAGGTGCCACATGGATTCAGATGCCAAATAATAGTGTACCATAGTGATGAGTTGGGCATAAATACTTGGAACAGATAATTTAGCCTTTATAATATGAATATATATGTATGTGAGTATATGTATGTAAGATGTCTCCATTATGAGAGTGTGACTGACTTTTATGCTATTGGTAAAATCTAATATATAGGGAAACCCAAAGGAGTTCTAAGGATTACAGGGAAGTGCAAGTTTTCTATTGATCTCAACTTCAAAGATGTGGAAATTTGCTTGTTTCCAGCAGTCTTATAGGATTTATCTAAACAGTGTTGAACACATAGGAAATTCTCTTGAGCAAGACTGTAGCAAATGAAGTTAAACAGTAAAAATACAAAACCCAGGTGCCTCTTCAGCTCCCACTGAATTCACGGAGAAATTGGACTTTGAGAGCAGAATTGAGCCTGGACTTGGTTTCTATCTTCTTTTATATTTTAAATCCTTTTCCAGTTTCAACTGTCCTTAGAGACCATTCCAACAGAGCAGCCTGCTTAGAGTTCCAAAGGTCTGTGCTGTTTTATCCTCATTAAACTCTTACAAGGAAGCTCAACCTTACAGCTCTCTTCTGAGCCTAAATGCATAAGATTCCTCTGGCAGCCCCTGAGTTTCCTAAATCTGCAACAGATCTAGCTTTTTCAGCCTGAAGAGCAAGAGGTTAGAGATTTTAGGGTTACATTTGGACTTTCCCACACAGCAGGGCACCTCTAAAATTGAAGCTACCACTACATTTTTCTTTACTGTATTAGTTTATTTTTTGGCAGGCAACCACCAGGCATCATTTTACTCAGGTGGATTCTGTTTTTGGTTATACCAGTACAACATGGTCGACTTCAGTGGAATTGCCTGAGTCCAGCTGTGAGCAAAATGTTGCTGTCTACTTTAGATGGAGAACTGGTCCTCACATGCTGGTCCAACACCATTACATAATAATAAAATATAGTACTAAAATGGCATTTTTATCTTCAGAGCAGTGTACAAGTCAAAATGTGTAGATCTTCATGACACCTGTATGAGCTACAGTGAGTGCATCTCCATGTGACCCCCATGGTGCAGCTGTTACTGCGCCGTCATTTAGTACTTGCTTTAGGAAGTACTAAATGATGGCTCAGTAACAGCCATTACTGCACAGTCCCAGCAGTGGACTGTTATTTTTAGCAGCTACATTGCTGTAGCGATGCACTATAGCGAGGTAGCTTGTCACTACAGTGATGTAGCAGCGGTATCATGGTTTGTGCCCGCCGATGCTACATCGCTGTAGTTCATCACTGTGGCAACGTAGAGTCCCATGTAGATGCGGCCAGTGCCCTTTTATAATTCCCATTTTGCAGAAAGGTCAAGAAATGTCATGACTTCCAGGACTGTACCAGTTCTTAGTGCTCCCAGGATTACAGTTTATGCCAGGTTCCCAGGCCTGTGCTTGCCTCATTTGCCAATGCTTCTTTGTTCCCTTTATTCTGCATCCATTTGTATTTTACTGTTCAAAATTATAAGCTCCCTTCACTAAGGTAGGTGTGTTTGTTGAGAACGACTGACCTCAGATTCAGCCACTAGTCATTTCTGCCAAGGGCAGTGCTTTGAGAAGAGCGGTATCTCTTCCATAGTTTCCATCAAATGATAGTAGATCTAGTATTATACATTTCTCACATTTCTATCACATTAGTTAGCTGTTTCAAATATTCACAGGCCACTTGGAAAAGTCTATTCAAGTCTACAGCAAAAATCAAAGAGAACTCAAGTGTGATGCCCTCAGTACTTCAATTCTGAATAAATGCTAATAGGTTTGTGGAGAGATAATGATCAAGTTTTAGTTCTGCATTATAGTGAGCTGAAAATTATTGTTTCCTCTTGTGATGATTAAGTAGTAAGTGTAGAGGAACAGAAAAGAATTGTTGTTCAATTGAGAAAAACCTAATATCCAATAATTGTCTTAAAAAGGAAATCAAACTAAGAGCAAGCTTCAATGAGACCTGTGCTTTGTGAACTTGTAGTGATGAAAAGGTTGGCTTTGTAGCTGCATAACAGCAGGATTTACATCTGTCTCTCATCATGCAGGCCAGTGAAAAGCGAGTTCACTTTATTGTGTCACGGCAGACCAGACAGCAGACCCCTGACATCTTGCAGGAGGCTGGGTGGAATTGCAGCAGCAGCCCTCAGTCCTGCCCCACTGAAAAAAACAATCCTAACAAGGTGAGGCCTGGATCTATTTTATAGTTAATGCTTCTTCTGTGGGAAAGAGGGATGAGAAGGTTGGCTAATGTTTTAATGTCTCTAGGTGTTGTCTCTGGACTGTATCATCGAAAGAAGCACATCTTGTTGTGCTATGTACATATAAAAACTGTGGTCATCTTTATTTATACATTGAGAAGTGCTTCTGTCTTGACTCAGTTTGCGGGGGTGGGGGAGACTTGGTGAAAGAGGAAACTGAAGGATAATAATGGGACAAAGCTTTATGCATATATACTGAACTGTATACAAACTATTCTGAGCTTGCCAAATGTAATGTGTTGTAATAAAAATAAGAGACTTGTATGAATTTACAGCATCTGAAGACAAGAAGCTTCCCTACATGGACTTAACATACTTGTACCATCTGGTTAAAGATCATTTTGATTACTGCCCCATCATTCATTTGTTAGAATAACCATTATCAAGAGAATAGATGTGAGGCTACATATTTAACTGTATCTCCAGTATCTTGACCATCTTCAGAGCTGACTTTACAAGCTTTGAAGACAGTTGCTATGATTTTCCTCAGCCTTGCATCTTGTCACATTCACAAGAAGTGGGTATATAATGCTAGTATTCTGCTCCTGTAGTATTTTACACATGCATTTTATGTGGAAAATTGAGAGCAGAAAGCAGCAGAAATTGGTTCCAGTGGGCATGTGCTGCATATATATCCACACAGAATTTGGTCCAGACTACTTCCACCCCTTTCCACCCCTTGCTTTGTAACAAGTTACTTAACGTTATTTGTGTTGACTTGACTCAGAAGTACCTGTGCAGTTTTAAGAAATATACATTTAACCAAACCATCCCTGTACTAAGCAGAATGGAGGAGGTACTATGCCCTGTTTCCCTTATTCAGGATGAGTTCAGTATAGGTCACAACATGGACAGAAACCAACCCAACAAGGACCTTGTAAAAAGAACATGTTTTCAGGTGTTGATGAACATTATGGTTCCCAGTACTTGTAGGACAAGGCATGCACATTCAGTGGAGGGTTTCATTTTAGATGAGAGATTATTACTAGAAGCAGAATGGCTCAATGGATAGAGCACTGGACTGAAATTCAGAGGGCCTGGGACCTGTCACTGTTTCTGGCACTGAGCTGCTCAGTAGCCTTGGGAAAGTACTTCACCTCTATTTGTTCCTATCTTCAAAACAGACACAATTATCTTACCTAGTTTGTAAAGTGCTCTGTGGTCCAGGTGTTATTCTTAGAGTAAGGAAAATGACAAAGAACATATACAGTCTCCATGGAGGAGACAGCAGTAGTGCATGGTTCATTCAACAGCATGGTTCATTCATCAAGTAGGCGGGCAGCCAGGCAGGTAGAATCCTGGCATTTAAGCATTTGTCTACTTGAGGGTGAAAACTAAATATGTAACTTTAACTTAAACTAGGAGTGCTCAACCCCTGGTCTGTGGGTCAAATCTGGTCCTTGGCGCTGTGTCACCTGACACCTGGGGCTCCCATGGGAGGAAGATCCTGGCATGTGGAGCTGGACAGGAGTGGCACATGGGGTGGCATGGGGCCTGATCTGGCCTGCAGACTGCCTCCACATCATTCATCTGGCCCACAGGGACAAAACCTTGAGCGCCATTGACTGAAACCATGTTAAGCCTTTGTATGGATGTTCTCATTCTGAGTACAAGTGGCTTTAATTTATTTTAGTTTAATTTGCTGTCCAAGCAAGTTACAAAAAACTGAATTAAAACCAATTAATTATAAATAAATGTATCCAATGGAAGGTTCAACTTGTGCCCTTTTAACATTTACATTGTTCTAAATTCAGATTAATTTTCCTTGGTTGTTCCTTCATAGAGAAACCTTAAAAGTGCAGTATATGGAAAGCAGAGCTACAGCTTATCCACCACCCTTAACAGAGGTCAGGAGAAATAGGCAGAGGGAGACGTACAAAGAGTGCCTGCTGGGTGACAGCAAATATGATGGAATTACCTAGAAGGTGATCTGTGCTAGAGCATAATCCAAAGCTCAGAGAGACAGCCCTCAGTGTACAGAGACAGCTAGAATAAGTCCTGCTTGCCAGGCAGCCAGCAATGTCTTTATAGTCCAATTCTGCAGTCATCTAGGAGAAAAGGGTGGGCCTATATTTTATGTTGTTTTAAGTATCAGAAATTATACTTCATGCCTGTAGCCCATCCTCTAGTATAAAGTTCACAAGCATAATTCTTGTCATGCTGTAGTGAGATTATAACCATATGTGCTGTCTAGAACAGCAGAGATGACACAAGTCAGCTACCAGCCTGCCATAAGAAAATGCCTAACTGATATTGCATCTGCAAGTCATTATTTGCTAATGAAATAATGATTTCAAGTCCCTCAGGGAGATCTCTGAGTGTGACAGCAATTAACTTATATCACTACTGTATGATTCCTGAGCACCTGCTATGTCCAGTGTGTCTCTCTCACTATTCTGCCCATTGGAGATTTCCATTCCATACCAAACTTCGGGCTCCTGTCTTCCTGTCCTGTACAGGAAGCAGCAGGAAGGCAATTCTTAATTCATATGAAGTTGTTTTGGAAGCTGTGGTGGCTTGTGGAATTTAGGGAACTATGTTTTTACTGCAGCTCTCCCCATGGGGCTAATGCCCCTTACTTTGTTGCTTTGACATGATTTTTGGGCTGCTGTGAAGATTTTGCAGTGGCTATGTAATTAAAATCCAAGAGAACAGGCTGTGTAGCCCCACCTGCTCCACATAACTTCTACTGGTTTCCACCTTACACAGCAAAAGGGGATCTCAGATTCTTTATTTTTTAATTCTCATCTAATGCAATTTCACTTAAGGAGCTGCTGTAGCAGTTTCTGTGGTGTTTCTGAGCTACTGACAATGAATAATTATTTGGGTATTTCTTGTTTGAAAAATAGGTTATCCAGCTACACAGTGCAATACTTCCTTATGCTGAGTGCTGAATAGTTAGAGTTGAGACTCAGTTCTGGTCTTGAGAATCATAGGAAGGCTGAGGGAAAGGGACTGTAATGGAGAATGTTTCTGGGATTGCTGCAGTTCTCCAAGCACTCAGCTCACTCTGTCTCACATACCCCTGGCACTGTTTAGTTCTCAGTTTTCTGAGAAGTAGAGCAACCACCATGATTCTGTCTGCCGTCTGGGAGTGCATGCACTCCTGTTTCCCTCAGCTGAATCCAGGTGCTCTCATGCCAGGTAACTAGAATCTAGCTGTTGCTGAGAAGGACCCCTTGCAGGAATTCAATAGACCAAACCATTCAAAAATAGCCAATGAAACGCATGGGTTTGATTATTTGCAGTAACCGTAATTCTTCACTGTAGTACCTTCACTCTTGTGGTGTTTGCTCTTCAGTCAGATATGAGAGCATCAGTCTGGACTGTTTTGTCTTTAGCCTAAATTCTGTTCCACACACTCTTTTAATTCACTGTTTTTAAAATTCAGCTTGAGTGGCCATTAGAAAAGGGGTTGTTTTTTTTAACCAGACCTTAATTCAAGGCTTGCAGATCTGTGCAGTCTCCAAAATAGTGTGTGCTCCTGTTTAGATCTATTCCACATCTTGGTTGTGGCTTGAAACCAAAGGCATTACCTTTAGGAGCGTGGTTTGGTGGAACTCTTTACTTGCTCTCAGTGAGCTTGCTATATTAAATGTAGCTATAATAGATAAATTGTTAATTAACTTTAAGTATCAGTGATTTGAAGTCCAAGGTTTTCTTTCTCTTTATTTCTTTCCTTCATTCCTTCCAAGGAGTGAACTTTAGTGTCATAGTTCCTGTCTGTGTCTCTGTTCTCCCCTGCATATCTGAAGAGTATAGTTGCTGAATTTTACCTTCAAGTTTCCATGTTATTCAGTTTCAAGAATAAACTCCAGCCTTCAGCATTCTCCTTTATTGAATCATGGCTCAGGAACTTTTTTTGGCCAAGTCCTTGCCCTCACAACATCCTGCTTCCATCTGCAAAGAGACTTTCTTTCAGGCTAATGCCAATAGAAAAAGGAGATCAGCCAGCAGAACAGTGATGAAGTAGAAAGGCAATCTGTGATTACCATGCCCTCTTCAGTGGGGTGGGAGTGAATTTTGCATATAGTGAGCTATATGATTGCTCATGTCTGGAATTGTTTTTAAGTTGTTCTCCCATGTACAAAGATAAAGGGAATGTATAGTCAGAGTCATTGCCATTGCCTGGACCCAGAATAAAGAAGATATCAGAAACACTCTTTAGTATGGCAAAGAGAACTATTAAAAAGTGTTTATAATACATAAATAGGCCAGATCCCACTCCTTTGAAGTCAGTGGGAGTTTTGCCATTGACTTCAGTGGGGGTACAGTAATGGCCTCTGATATATGACTTGTCTCTATATGATAACTACTTTCTGACTCCTGTTGTTTATTACCCATTGTCCAATCCATAAAACCTGCACCCATTGCCCTTGCTGCTCAGGGACATAATAGTCTGTATCTGTATTAGTTGGTTAGCCTTCAGGTAGTATATATTTTCCAAGTAGATTCAGCTGTGTCCATTGCCTGAGAGACACGCGTCAGGACTTTGAGGTTGTGATATCTGCTATAAATATTTATTTCACAGTAAACTTTAAAAAAAACCAACACAAGCTGTTAGGTTTTCCCTGCCATGGCCTCCCAGGTCATTTCAAAACGATGAAAAAGAGCAGTTGTTTAGAAGAGAATGTATTAAAATGTATTGACTGATAAACATGGCCTTTTAACTGGTTTACTCATTATCAGTAATACCTCCATGAAAGCACTACATGTGTTTATTAAAAAGGCTTTCATTTCCTTTTATTGCTATCTTCCCCTCAGCTGAGCCTCCAAAATTCTCATCTACGATCATGTTAAAAATAAGATGGTGCAGGGAATCTTCAAGGGAAACTGAATATTGCTGAATACTGTATGTGTGTACAAAAGACATTTTTTTCATCATTCTTCATTGATCCGTAGCATATGACAATTTGTTCCTGGGCATCACTTTTAAAAGCCGATAATGTCTATGCTGTTTTTCAGAAATAAAGCATAAACAATGTATTTTATCAGTAACATTCTTGATGTCTGAGCCAGAAAGAGCACAGCATAAATAACTAGGATGCTCTGAATTACAGGCTATAATTCATATTTTGTTCCAAAATATGATGTCATTACAGCTTTTATATTTTGCTACAAAACAACTGTCCTTCTGTACCAAACTAGTACTTAGTTTCCTTTATAGTGGGCCATTTTCAGTGAAAAATCAATGCATCATCAAGGTAGAAGAACAACTTTACCAAAAAAGTTGAAGCAGGATTGGAGTCATTAGAGCTTCGTGTGTTTAGCATGAAAAAGTATGTCAATGTTTTGCAGGAATTAAATCCCCTTCCTAAAGCCGTAATACCAAGTTTTCTGACACTGTGTTCCATTCCAGTCAGAGGTACTAGGGTACAGCGTGTCCAAAACTACTACTATCTTTGCAACTACTGTCCCTATGAATGAAGAAGGGAGCGTTTTCAGTGGAATTTAATTATTTTATTTTTCTTGGAATGAAACATCAATTTGCAGTTCTCTCTACTTATTTTGTGCATGAAATATGATTTGGGAGTTGTTTTGTTTTGTGTTGTTGGTTTGATTGCATAACTGGAGAACTCTTGAGATGAATTTATGTAATTATAGTCTTGTCATTCCAAGCGTGCCTTTCATAAGAAAAGTTCTGTTAATAATCCACATATTTGAGCCCATCTCCCATTTATCTGCAAGCTTCCCGTTGGAGTTGTTCCCTCTTTATCCCTCCTTCCACACAAATCTCTTGGTGCTGTCTTTCCTCACAGTTCATTTTAACTATTGTGAAACAGGCATAGATTTGACTGCTCTGTTTCTGTGCTGTTGGCCAGGGAGTTGAAGTGGAATGTCTTGCTTGAATTTTACGTAGCTGGAATGAGACTTGCATAACCATGGGTGAGATTTATAGGTTATTTTGTGTATTAGGGGTTTGAGGTCATGTGTGTGAATGGTGAAATCTTTTTTTAGTATGGCTTAATGCATTTGAAATGCTGTGCTGCTCCTGCTTTAGAGAGTGGGAGAAAATCCCAGGCATATGAAATATTTAGGGAACTTAAAGTTGTTCAGTAATGTTTCACTCCAGATCTTTTTTGCTCAATCCTTGTTTCTTTTGTAAGCATGAAGTATTCCATAGGGATTGGGAGCACTGACATATTCAGGTTACAGAAGGAGGAAGAAGTTCTGTTTGGACACTGGGAAGATGCTCTGTGACTAGTGTTACATTCTAGAGCCTGCTACCTTTTGTTCCTCCAACAAGGAGGGACAGAAATTACATATAAGAAATTATCATTAAGTGATCAGAAACTGGTTCAAATCTGTAACACAACAGAAGTTCAGTGCACATAAAGCACTTTCAAAATGGCTAAAACTGGTTTAAGATAAACCTGGATGGATGTAGTAGCAGACAACTGATTTAGGTTAAATCAGTTTATTGAACTTCTGTCCTACAGTCCCCCAGCATCCTGGGTTGCTTTTCACCTCCCCTGCAAACTCTCCCTTTCAGGGTAAGCAGGCTAGCCTTGGCCAAAGCTGTCTGCTCCTGCAGAGCAGGGAGGCGTGCTCTATTGCTCCCTGGCTTCTAGCCTGGGCCACTGCAGGCATGTGGCAGCATTTCCAGAATGAAAATTGAATGTCTGTTCACTTGCTTATCGGTTCAATCTACATAGCTTAGAATAATTTGTGAAGATTGAACTGATTCAGCCCTGGGCTTTTTAACTGTCTGTACTTAGCCAAGAAGCATAAACAAACGAGGCAACATGTGGATGACTTGTCTAGTAACATGTGGATAACTTTTCCTATTGGAAGAAAAAGATGAATGACCTCATAAATTTCATATGGCCATCTCAAAGATTTGATCTTTTAAAATCAGCAATGAATGAATTACTCCAGAAGCCGTTGGCACTTCATTCAGTAAAAGTCCTTATTATTCTGAATTAAATTCACATTCTCTCCTCCGATTTCTACCAGAACATTCTATGGAAGCATATATATATATACAGAGGTCCTAGAGCATGCCTCCCTGCTTGGCTGGAGCATACAGCTTGGGCCAATGCTAGCCCACCCGCCCTGCAAGGAGGGGCTTGCTGGGGAAGTCAAAAGCATCCTGGGATTCTGGGGGAGTGTGAGTTAAGTTGAATCTGGAGGGGATGTGGAACAGAAGTTCAATAAACTGATTTAACTTAAATCAGGTAAGTCTGATACTACATCCATCCAGGTTTATCTCAAACTGGTTTCAGTCATTTTGAAAGTGGTTTATGTGCACTGAACTTCTGTTGTGCAACAGATTTGAACCAGTTTCCAATCACTTATACCAACTTATGTGTAATTTCTGTCCCTAGCCTTTGACGGTCTGTACTTAGTCTAGATGTCTGACTTTATCTACCCAAATGTGGAATGCTTTGGTTATAGCTCCAACGTTGTAGAATCCTATACAGTGCATTTACAGGCAGTCCTCACCTTATGACATTTCGAGTTACAATGTTTCATACTTACAGCATTTATAAATTGACACCCTGTTTCAACTTTCTGACATCAGTTTTAACTTTACAACGCTTGATCCAACGCGATCCCACACCAGTGAACAAGTTCGCTGTGTCGCCCATTTCCCTGGAGAGCATCTCTCCAAACTTCCTTGGACACTTTCTTTAAGAAAGCAGACAAGACTCCAGAAGAACCTGCAGTCAAGACTTCTGAGAAGACTCCAGCCAAGAATCCTTCAAAACATCTGGCAAAGTCACCTCAAACAAGTCCTTCCAAGTCAATATGGCTGCTATTTACAATATAAATACATTAATGTAGCCATGTTACTCATGTATAATTGATTGAGTACAAAATTCTGGGTTATTTTTGGTGAAAATAGGGTATCGGGCCTTGGTTCAGGCACCAATCTATTTATAACATTGTTTCCTATGGGAAAATCGGTTCTGAGTTATGTTTTGACATAAGACTCAGTTTTCACAAACCAATTGTGTCGTAAGTCTGAGGACTGCCTGTACTCATATTTGCCACCTGCACAGAAAGGTGTGAGCTTCAGTGACTGTCAAGTGTTTTGAGATCATTGTAGAACTGCCTGTTAATTTCCATTAAAGATGATAAATGATAATGCTGTCAGAGGGCTGTACATTTATGCTGCACTTATGCCTACTCTTTGGCCCCCACAGAACGTCCTTCATGCTGTCACCTGTCATGAGAAGGTTGTGGTTGTGCGGAAAGATCACACAGAGTCGCTAGGAATGACTGTCGCAGGTGGAGCATCTAACAGGGAATGGGATTTACCTGTCTATGTGATAAGTGTTGAACCTGGAGGAGTCATCAACAGAGATGGCAGGATAAAGACAGGTAAGGCCAGTGGGATTGGGTAAATGTAAAGCCCTCTGCTTAAGAATACACGAATCACAAAAGGCTGTCATGTCCTGTAGAGTTCAGTACCCATGTGAGTTTCTGTCAGATAGAAGAGAGCAAAAAGCCTGGGAGTTGTTTTTAAAAAGACAGGTTCCTTGATAGAAACTGTTTGATACTTACAGATTGGAGTCCCCAGGAACAGTGTGTCAGTTAGCTCCTCAAAAGAACCTTATTTCAGCCACTGTGGGAACATCTCTGTGTCATCTTATGTCTGTACCAGTAGTGTAGAAATGAGGCATGTCGAAGTGAATGAGAGAGTAACACATTCTCCCAACTCCAAAGAAGCTGACAAAGTTAATCAAGAAGATCACAAAATCATAGAAAAGTAGGTCTGGGAGGGACCTCAGGAAATCATCTACTTTAACCCCCAATAGAGTGTTGCGTCTCTTGCTAAGCTTCCATTGTGCTTGGGTTTCTGGGAACCCAGCTCTCCCACTTCCTGAGCAAGTGCTCTTGCCAGTAGGCTGTTAGGGAGCAGAGTCCTATTCCTCCTCCTTTCTAAGCAACTAGTCAATCCTGGGTGGCTCCTAGGTCTCCACATTCAGTGTGCTGGAAGCCTAAATGCCTAACCCCTGTCTCTGAGGATCATATACCTGGGGCAAAACAACACTCAAGTGGAGGTACCTTGGAGGTTCATGGGGGTGTGGCTAAAAAATTGTAGAAATGCTACTACAATTGTTGTCCTCACTTCTGGACATCTCAAGGAGAAAACCTACACCCTCATAACTTATGTCTGAAATTCAGATTGAAAACATACCTGAATATAACAATATAGCATCAATTAGAAGTGAACTTTGTAGATCTTACTACTCTTGTAAAGTAGGCAGCCTACGCATTATCCCTATATTAGAGATAGCAAAACTCTGCTCTGATTAGCTTGTGGAGGTCACAGAAGTAGTCTGCATCCTGGAGAAGATCCAAGTTTTAGTGCCTTAGGGCATGATCTGTCCCATTTGTGCTGCTTGTGAGTGTAGAGGGGACTAGGATGGTCTTAAATATGCAGCTGAAGATTCCCTTATTGTAGGGGAAATCTGGACTGGCACAGAGTCCACATAGGCATGCTACCCAGGTCTTCCTCAGTGTAGCCATGTGCCAGGAAGGTAGTCTTTCAGTGCATAATAAATGGGATGGGGCCACTATAACCCATTACAGTTTAGAGCAGTCCTTATACTCCTCTGCAGTTACATCAGGCTGTTTCTGTGATCCAGGGTATAAGAAGATGTATTATTTAAGAAACAAAGCAAAACACCATTGCCTATCTTAACTGCAAGGGAGATTTTAACCCTCATGTTACTCTAATATTCAATGTTATTGTGCCTTTCTTTAATTTCACATTAATATTAACAAACATTTTAAATGGGTAGGAAGCTCCCAGGGCTGGGTTAGTCCTAAAATGCTTAGTCCTCTTTCTGTTTCAAATGAGAAATTAAAATCATAAAGTAATTGTGCCCTTTTCATTGGCCCTCAGGTGACATTTTGCTGAATGTGAATGGAATTGACCTGACTGGTGTGAGCCGCAGTGAGGCAGTAGCCCTGTTGAAAAACACCACCTCCTCCATAATGCTCAAAGCCCTGGAAATGAAAGCATGTGAGGCTCAGGGGGACAGGAGCAGTGCAGCATTCCCCACCACCAGTCAGAACACGTCTGAGAGCAGCGAATGGTCACCTTCCTGGGTTATGTGGCTTGGGCTGCCACGGTAAGTCCAAATACTATATCTTTTTGTCAAAGGGAAGTGGGAGGAAAGATTTATATTTCTTGGACATTTCTTTGTTTTGGTCTGATTCATAGTACTAACATTTTAATTAAATCCAGGCTTTGTCAAGGACCGTTGTTTTAAATACCTCCCCTTTGTAACTGTGTATTAAATAGATGAGAAATATACATGTAGGTATACTTTAAGAGCAGTGCCTGAGCAGTGCCTATTCTTGAAAATGGATCTGGCATTCAGGGAATGAAGGGAAAAACTTGTCTGAAAACAGGGGTTCATTGAGTTTGGAGTGGGGGATCTCATCTCTCTGGACCACCCTGTAAAGTCCAGAACTACCCCTGCTGTTGCTTTCAAGCTGCACAGCCCCTCTATTAGTTAAATACAGCTGAATTGTTTGACTTTGCCCAGATGTTAAAAAGCACACGCAGTTGGCGAATGTCTCAGAATCACCTCCTCTCACCCCAGCCCCTGCCTGAAAAAAGTTCATTTGTAATATACAGGAAGCAGCTGTGTTGTAACGTTAGTAAAAATAATAAAAGCCACATAGCATGTCGTTTGTCTGACACACATGCAGGCATTTTGAACATCTTCAGCATACATGATTCTGTGATTGTGCAACATTTCTCTGAACTTGGGCTTTTAATGAAGATGTGCCACAATTTTGTGATTACGTGGACGTAAGTCACGCAAAGGCTGAATTTATCTTTCTTAAATGAAGCAGAGCTCCCACTGAGTTTAAGGAGTGCAGAATTCAATCCAACACTACTTTTGAGCAGTTCAGAACATTCCTTTCACCATTAATGGGCACCACTAAGTAGACCCATTCCAGCAAAGGCAAGAGTGAAACGAGTTGAGTTATGTTTCTATGACATACATGGCTTCCTGGCTCCTTGTTTACACTAGTCGTGCATTATGTTAGATTCCATTCTTTATTATTGCTCATTCTTCTTTCTTCTTAACTGAGCTATCCACAACCCTTCCTTCCCCTTGCGACAAGGCCACAGCCAAACTGAAGGTCTTGGACTCTTCTATATTTCACTGACTTGGGCCTGTGTTGACATGGTTCTGAGCAGTGGTGATGCGTAGGGGGTGCACGGGGGTACATATGCATCCCCTGACAGAAGTGTCCCCAGGCAGGCAGGGCAGGCAAGAGTGCTGGTGCCCCCCTGCCCGAGCGCGCCAGCTGGGGAGTGCGCCAGGAGAAGTGGTCCCCCTGCAGCCAATTCCACTGACCCGAAAGCATGAGTGACTAGTGCCTCCTGAATCTGGGGGGACACCCACAGAAGTCGCCAACAGCAGCAGCCCTGTCAGGGGAGACACCAGCCCTACTGATGGCATCAGTGTTGGCTATCGGGGGGGCACTGATCCTGTCGGGGGGGCATAGGCACCCCTTACCAGTCTCCTGTGCCTGGAAGTGCCAGCGGCACACCACTGCCAGTTGCAGGTCAGCAGGATCAGCCATGGGGGGGGACCCTTCCCCCAATCGCTGACTCCCCCGACTCAGGAGGCACCAGTTGCCCATGGTTCTGAGTTTAGACCAAGGGCAAGAAGTGACTAGCTCCCACATAGATGGTGAGAGACCACAAGGTGAAAAGACAATTCTGGGTCTGCTACCATTTGTTCTTTGGATAGGAACAACTGGTCCAATGAATTGTCCCCTTTGATGTAGGAGCTAGAGCAGGAATGGGCACTTATTTTGGCCCGAGGGCCAATTAATGAGTTTTGCTGTCCTCTCAAGAGCCACCCTTCTCTCTCCCTCTCTGTCCCCAGAACCGTCATGAAGCTGTAGCATGCCCTGATTCCCACCCCAACCTGTAACCCGCTGGACCCATCCACAGCTTACTCTGCCACCTGCCCAACATGGTGGAAGCAGCCCTGGGCAGGTGCCAGCATCAGCTGTGGATGTGGCAAGCACTTTCTGGTTGGGGATCAGGGCATCTGCCTGGGTTCACAGTTGGGTGGAAGTAGTCCCACCCATCCACCCAGTGTGGCAGAAACAGCACACAGTGGCAGGAGCCAGAGCCACCAGCTGCCTATGCGCCAGATTCAATGAGTTGGTGGTCGCCTGCCCCCGGGCAGGATACAGTCAGTTGGTGGGATAGATCTGGCCTGCAGGGCATATTTTGTCCACCCCTGAGCTAGACTGTTTTCAGCTAGACTTGTTGCTTTTGAGGGTGGGTTGGTTTTCATTCATCCAGCAGGTCTGGTGATCCACCCCATACATCCCTTCCACCAGTGCCAAGGTCTGCATGTCTTTGCTGTGTATATTAACTCTTTTGCCCCATACAGGCTAGCTGTCTGAATGGCAAAATAAAAGTGATAGTATAAACAAAACATGGCTGTTGGCCTATACTGAAACCAGTACTCCCGTGTCTTCAGAGCAAGCTAGGCTTTTTCCCATGCTAGCTAGCCAGGTTAAATCTGCTTTGGGAGTGCTACAGTCACACCTTCATTTGCTGTGTGGACAAATTCTGAGAACTCCCATGTATACAGCTGGCAGTTCTCCTCCTACAGTTTCCACAGTGATAGGATGTACTTTGTAATTCTAATTGAGCCGTGATTACAGTCCGCTTACTTGTCTTAGTATCCACACTGATGGAGGACCCTCCATTAGTGAGCATTCTGTAGCCACCCACTGACAGCTGCAGTCATGGTGAAGGGCAGATGTGCAGCTCCCCATCAAGCAATCAGATACTACCATTGATTTAGGGGCTAAAAGAACCTTAAGGCAGCATCTGAGCTTACTATGCTCCTGCTCCAAAGCTGCACGTGCAGTGCCCCACCCCCTTCCTCTGAAGGAAAATTACCCACCACATCAGCAAGTCTGAAAACAGGAAATTCATTGTAATCATATCCCCAGCTGCAATGAAACTCACAGAAAAGGGCCACAGTGTGCCTGAAGACTGGGGGGGATTAGTATGCTGAACTGGTACACTAGTTATCTTAAAGTCAGATTAAAGACAGGGAATAAAGCTGATTAGAACTGACAGTAACAGAGGTGTATTTCATCCCTATTAGTACTTGCTTGTTTGGGTAAGCACCCAAGCATCAGATTTGGATTTACTCACTTAACAATACAGGTTATCGGATACTTCAATCTTGCTTAGCGTGAATACTGGTTACCCTCCTCTTTTTTGCCCTGACTCTCTGGGGTCTGCATTATACATCTGGAAGTCCTTCAGCAAGTTCTCTCACCAGGACATGTATCATATTAATACACATTAACTCATTTCCCTGCAGTCTGAGAATTTAACCTTTCCCGATTGGCCTTCTAGTATGTTGTTGGCAGGGGCCACACCCCAGTAGATCTCAAGGGGTCAGTTGGAACGCAGAGATATTTTCTAAACTCTTGCTGCATTTACCAAGCCATCTTGGGAGCTGATCCAATTCAAATACACTTCTGATTAGTCACTGTTAATATAGGTTTCCTTAAGGTCAAAGTATTGGGCAAGAAAAAAAGTCTGTAATATAGGGGGTGGATGATTTAAGCTACAAGTCAATTTAACAACACCATGCTGCTAGAGGAGAACACAAGCAGCAAGTGGCAGGCACTTTAGCTTTACGATTTCCAACACTTTAGGTTTCAGTAGGATCCTAGGCAGACTGTTCCCTATCTGTGCCAAATGCCATGAAGACACAGAGCGGGATTTGGATGAGAAAGTGGTTCTGTATTAGTGCAGCATTGCACATTTCCAATTCTTATAACCAGCAAAAAACAAAGCGCAAAGACTTACAATATGCAGCAGTGATTGCCTCCAGGAGAGCAGGGACTCCAAGCTGCTCTGAGTTGTCACTGAGACCAGCATCATGTCTTGTCCTCTCCTGCTTGCTCCCGTTTTATACCAGTTTGTGAACTGTTCCTTCCCTTCACTTTCTTTCCTTTGGGTCCCTTTCCCACCCCGCTACTGGCTATTCACTTTGTCTGATTCTATTACCTAGTCTTCTCTTCACCACCGCCCCTTGGACCAGACCTGCTGTACATCAGGGGTGTCAAATTCCAGCCCTGTGGGCCAGACCCAGAGTGCAGGGCCAGGCCATGGGCTGGACCGGATGAAGGCAGAATTAATTGTTGTGGCTTTGGGAGCTCCACACTCAGAAACTGATCTGTGGGGCTCCCCTGGGGCTACGAATTTGGGTCTGTTACTGTAGGGAATACTACTCTCTCTCAGACTCAGCCTACCCCAGAGACCATATTCTGCAAATGAGTGGTTCAGTGGTATTCAGACTAATGAACCTCAGGTTCTAGAGAGCCTTGCTTATGTGAAAGAAATTAATCTCTTTTCAGCGAAGTGTCCTCCATGAACTGAATTCTTGTGTCCAGTATTTGGGCTTCAAGGTGTCAGATTTTCCAAGCATTTCCATACCTGTTTCTTCAGAACAGCTATTCTGACATTTTTATCGCTTTCCAAGATAGCCACACTTTTCCCTCATTAAGAGACTTGAACATGTTCAGCATCCGGTCTCCTTGTAAGTGTGCTACATGCTTTCTATTTAGCAGCTGTGCTTTGTTTCACCTTAGTATTTTAGGTCTGTGTGAATTTGGGGGAAAGCATGAGGGAAGGATTGTTTTGTCTTAATCAGGACTCCAAAGTGCCTTACTTTGAATTGGTATATTTTTTGTTTACTTAACTTTATGATGTTCTTGTCCATTAGCCAAATATTTTCTATATCTCACAGGATCCCATGGCATTTCTAACAGCACAGGTATTAGAAATAACTGCAACTTTCACCCTATTTAAGGGCTCACAGAGGAGAAAGGTAATTTTGAATACATTTGTAAAAAAGACGGAGACCAGATTTGATTGTTTAGCGTATAGCTAACTCATTTGTTCACTTCATAGTGCAAAAGACTGTGAGATGGTTATAAGACTGACAGACTGTGTAGTGGTTATAAGACAGATGCACGTGGGCTGCTAGTATTTGTCCAGTTTTGAGAGCAGAGCTGTTAAATGAGTGGAGGGCATATTTGGTAGATGTGAGAGAGTGAG